GGTGTGTGTCCCGGTCCTTTTCCAGCCCGGAGAGAGGCCGGAGGCTGTCCCGGTCTCTTTTCAGCCTGGGGAGGATTTGGGGGCTGTCCTGGTCCCCTTTCAAACCGGAGGGGGATTAGGGGCTGTCGCGGTCCCTTTCCAGCCCCGGAGCTGGTCGGGAGCTGTACCGGTCCCCTTGCAGCCCGCGGAGGGGCTGGGGGCTGTCCCGGTCACCCTCCAGCCCCGGAGAGGGTTTGGGGGGTGGCCCGGTCCCTTTCCAGCCCCTGAGAGCCTTTCGTGGCTGTCCCGGTCCCCTGCAAGCCCGGGAGGATTTGGGGGCTGTCCCGGTCCTTTCCCAGCGCGGGAGGAACTGGGGGCTGCTGCCGTCCTCCCCACCCCAGCCCTGGGGAGGGACGGGGGCTGTCACGGTCCCTTCCCAGCCCCGGGAGGGTTTGGGGGCTCTCCTGGTCCCCTTCCAGCCCCGATCCCCATTCCCCGACCCGCCCCACAAACTGGAGACCCCACAGCATCCCTGAGCGTCGCAGCCCGGAGAGAGGCACAGGCGGGGTTGTCGCCGCTTGCCTCCAAGTTATCGCTGCTTTTGCTTTTCGGGACTCGGTCACATCATCCCTCGTGGGTCCCCGTCCCCTCCCCAGCTTCATGGGGAGCCTTGGGGTCCAGCCGCCGGGGTGGCCGGCGCTCCCGGGAGAGGCGATGCTGGGGGACGGAGAGGTCATCGCTTTTATTAGACCGGCTTGGAAAAAACCTGACCGGTGCCGGGCACGCAGCGCTGGCCCCTTGCGCGCTCCCGGCTTTATTTTCTCTTTATTGTACCTGCCAGGCTAATAAAAGATATTACCTCTGCTGCAAAGCCTGCCTTCGTCTCACCGCCATCGTGGGGGGCTGCTGGCGGCGTCGGGGTGGGCACGGGATTTTCGGACGCTGGAGCGATGGTCAGCAGCGCGGTCAGCAGCAGGATTTGGGTGACGGACCCTCTCTGGGTGCCTCTGTGGACCTGAACTGGGGGTTGCATTAAATAAACTCCATCCTCAGCATGTTTTCTCTCAAATCTTGATTTTTCTCCTCCTCCCTGCCCTCTTCTCTCATCCTGCCCTTTTTCTCAATGGATTTTTTCCCCCTTTGCCATTCCCCCTCCCTGAAGCTCTCCTGAACTTTGCAGGGACCGGGTAAATTTTGGATGCTGGTGTGACTGGGGGGCTTTAGCTGCTCCCAGCCACCCTTTACTGTGCTCCCCGAAATGGGGCAAACCCTATATTTAAAGTGACAGCGTGTAACAGCAGCCAGAGAAAGCGAAGGAGCTTGTGGGGGGAGCGGGGGGAGAAGGAAAGACTTGGGAACGTGTCAAATAATTGTGTGCCATCAGATATTTCAGCGTGGGGCAGCATCCACTCTCGCACCGAAGGAGGGAAGAGCCAGACGCGCGCAGCGGGTCGTGCTGAGCCAGCGCTGCCGCACTCATGGACGGAGCCTCCTCTCCCCCAAAATAGCCCTTTGGGGCCCATTTATCGCATTTAATTGCTATATTTAACAAATCAATAGAGCTCTGGAAAACAAGGCAATCGGTGGGCCAGGTCTGCCGCTTTGCGTGGAGGTCCTGGCAAGCTCTCATCCGCCGAGCTGCAAACATGCCGGCACCTTTTAGTCCTCCTCCGTGGCTCCTCAAAGGCGCAGGCAGGTAGAGGAGCAGAGTGACAGAGCTCCGGGAGGAGGCGAGCAGGTTGAGGAGTACCAGGGAGAGCGATAATAGGTACGAGGCTCTGCGAGTGGAACCGAAGAATGAGGAGGACGATGGTTCATCTAGCTCGGAGGTGTCGCCGAGGTCAAGTCGGCCTACGCCCTGCGTCAAAACCACTTCCATAAAGAGAAAAAAGATGGGTCATTCTCATAGGAGACTCCCTTCCGAAGGGAACAGAAGGCCCGATGTGCAGACTGGACCCAATCCTTAGTGAAATCCGCTGCCTCTCTGGGGCCCGGGTTAAAGACATGAAGAGAAAGCTTCCTACCCGTACGGCCCTCAGATTGCTATCCAGTATTGATTTTTCAGGCAGGCAGCGATGAAGTTGCAAGTAGAAGTCCAAGGGCAATCAAGAAAGACTTCAGAGCCTTGGGACAACTGGTTAAGGGATCAGGAGCATGAGTAGTGTTCTCCTCTGTCCGTCCAGTTGCAGGGAATGGTGAGGGAAGACATGGGAAGAGCCCGCAGATCAATGCCTGGCTCCGAGCCTGGTGTCACCGGCAGAAATTTGGGGTTTTTTTTGATCATGGGTCGGTCTACGCGACACCAGGCCTGCTGGCTACAGACGGGGTGCGCCTGTCTCAAAGGGGGAAAAGGATCTTTGCACAGGAGCTGGCAGGGCTCATTGAAAGAGCTTTAAATTAGATTTGAACGGGGAAAGGGATAAAACCAGGCTCACATTTCTGCAAACCATTTCTGCTCCCCCCTTCCACCTTGCAGCTTCTTTGCTACACCCTGGTCCAGCCCCAAACCGGCTTGGCACCTCTGTCCTTTCGGATGCAGGTGTGGAGGACAGATTTTTTCCCTCTTTCTCTTCACAGCCACTGTTTTCTGGCCTCTCTCCAGTTGGGTCATAGCTTTCCTGAAGTGCAGAGCCCTAAACTGAGAGTCCTGGCACCTCCTGGAGCAGAAGGACACCCCTGCCTTCCTTCATCCCCAAAAGGATGGTCACTTCTGGATTTATGGTCTCCTCTTGCCATCCATCCTGTTGGTCCTGCGTGTCCGTCTCCTCTCTAGCAACATCCCCGTGTCCTTGCTGGATGGTCCCGGATCGGTTTTCCACCCCTTTTACCAGACTATGGTCTCAGTCCTGGTATCTTGATGTCGATGCTCTTCATTCCCAGTTGTTAATGGTCACACTGGATCCTGGAGCCCCTCAAACACACGCTCTCCTTCAAGCCCCCCTGTTGGACTTGGATCTGTTTTGGGTCCTCCTACACCATCTCCCCCAGACCATAATTCTGCATTTGAAGCAGCATCGAAGACTTCTTGCCATTAAAGGCAAAGAGATCTGCATCGCCCCGGTGCCAGGAGTCCATCACCATGTCGCAGGATGAGATTAGGTTGGGCTGATGCGATTTGTGCCTACAAATCAATACAGACCGTTACTCATCGCCTCGTTATCTTCTGAAGGCTTCCAAAGAGAATTGATTACTTGCGCTGTGTCTTCAGTAACCGGTGTAAAGCCACCTGGTCCGCAATATTGCTTCTCCTCCCCCATCTTCAACGACGGCCCATGTTATTTTTGGGTTTGCAGCCTGGAGACACGCAAGCAGGGCTCTGCTTCAGAGTTGAAGCCCTTTGGGCTTCCCAGCTCCCCTCCCACCACGTCCCACCCTGGGTTCTTTGCCGCTGGTGCTGTTGTTGGCCGATTGCAGATGGCTTTTTAGCGAAGGCTGGAACGGCCAGCTCCTTCTCACGGTAAGGGCATCGTTCCTTCCCCCTCCGTCCCTCCTCGTTTCTCGCTGCTGCAAAATGAGGCCGAAGGCTCTCCTCCTCCTCTCCACACTGCCCTGGGGTCTTGGGCTCTGTAATCGTCCACGTATTTTTGCTTGCATTTTACTTGTGGTTTGTGGACAGCAGGAAAGCCGCAGCTTTGGGTGTAAGGCATCTCGTGGTCCCAGCGTTTCCCTGCCTGCGCTTCCATGATGGTTAGAAGGGAAGATCTGAAGATATAATAGGTGATTTAAAAAAAAGAATTCATCTTCTGGCCTCTGCGCTTCTCCTGGGCACATTTTCAAGTCTTGCTCTGCAAGCGCAAAGGCTGAATTGCTTTTGCAGGGGGATGCTCTTGCACAGCCTCACACCGCCCCGGGCATCGGCGGTGGGGAAGAGCTGATGTGCCGGCTGCGATATCATCGTGAGATGTGTCAGGACAGAGGGGGAAGGAGCAGAGTGGAGCTCGCCTTGTGCGGCGGCTCTCTGCCTCCTCTGCCCTCTTGGATGGGGCACTTCCACTTCTTCTGGCTCCCTTTTGGGTTTTTTTTTTTGCTGTTCCTGATGGTCCCTTTCAGTTGGTGGTTTTCTGCCCTGGCCACGTGCTTTGGGGCAGATTGATGCTCCCTGGCCAGTGTAAGAGCAGCCCTTTCACCCCTAAGAAATCCTATAAGCCGTAAATTGCAGCATTTGAACCCAGCTATTAACCTTTGCTCAGCAAAGGCTGGCAGCAGCTGAGTGCAGAATCCCTTTAAAATTCACGCCTGTGACACTGGAATTGCTCATTTTTCTGTCAGAGGATCCTTGGAAAAAAGCTGGAAAATGAGGAATACTGTCTTCCGACATTTTCCATGTGAAGCCATTGGAAACCACACTTCTTTCACTTCGAAAAATCCTCCCACATCTGTTTGCAAGGGGTTTGGCACTGAAGTGAGAGGTCCCGTTCCAGGTTTTGCTTCATCCCAGGCGATTTCTCTCCCTCCCTTCCTTGCACCCTCTTGGGATTGCAAAAAGATTTTGTAAAAAATCTGCTTTTAGCCCAATGTGGGACAGTCCCCAGGATGCAGGAGAATGAGAGAATAAGTCCCAGCTGTTGTGTCTTGCTCCAGGGATGGTGCAAAGATGTGATGGGTGCTGGGGCTGGGGTCAGGCTGGGACTCCCTGGTCCCGTGGCCCAGCTGTTTCCCCATGATCCCCAGAAACCGCCTTCCCCCGTCTCGTTTGCTCAGCATGAGCAGACAAGAAGTGGGAAATAAAAGGCAGGACAGGACGGACAGACAAAACAAGGAGGGGACGGCACGTCCCTGTGGGCTGTGGCTGCCGTGGTTATCGCTGCAGGCACGAGCTCATCCCCGGCATCGGTGGTCACCAGCAGAGACCCACCGCCAGCTGCGTGCTTCACGCCAACTCCTTTTCTTGCTCCATAGCTCCCATGTCCGTCTGTCCTGGCTGGTAGCACCCAGAGCCCATGTGCCACTTGGTTAGAGGATGGTGAGGGTCACTTCGTAGCGCAGCCACCATCCGTCCCACAAAGTGCCAGCCCACTGCGCTTCTGCTAATTGATTCATCAGCATCCAGAGAGCCGGGTGGAATTGGACCTGCTGAGCTAATTGGTGCATATTTTAAGATGGTATCAAAGATTTCGCATTTAAACATCAGGGACTTGCAAATGAAGCTGCGGGTGGGCAGGTCTGCCGGGGCTGGTCGTGGTCAGCGTGGTATTTGTTGGGTTGCAGAGATGGTTCCTGATGAGCTGTGGAGGGAGAGGTGGGGAACAAGTGCAGGCAGGGAATCGGGACCCCTGGACATGGGACCTGGGGTCATCAGGGTGGTTTTTCACCCCAAATAAATGAAATCCTGCAGCACTGGATTGTGATGGCCACCTCACTTCGCTGTGTTGCAGCCCCCAGGGTTGAGAACAAGGGTGCAGATTAATGGGCATCAGGGAGCGGGTGCTTTGGGTGCCCACAGCCAGGCTGCGTATCCAGGACCCAACAGCTGCACGGAGCAAACACTACACCAGCCCAGCAAGGAAAAAAGCACCCATGGAAAAGCCACAGGACCCAGGAGGGGAGAGGTGTCCCCTCCGGCTCCTCAGGGCTCGGGTACAAAGGCAACGGGTCAGCAGAGCCCGTGTTGTGTTTAACTGCTCTATTTATACCACGATATCCGAAGGAGAGAGGACCTTTTCCCTAAATGTCTGCAAAGCACCGTGCGTGCTAGTAATGCTCTATAAATACATTAGCAATAAATAATGAATAACCTGGATGGGCATTAAAGTGTAAACAGGAGGTGAAGGGCTCTCTCCCATTACTGGTCCCCCGAGACCTACGTGCAACCCTCTTTCCAACTCTGGCTTGATGCAATTCCAACTGCAGAGTCACAGCAGCGACAATATCATAGATCAGTGGCTCCATAGTTA